ACTATTGATCATAAGGGGTGTCCTGATTTTAGAAATGTTAAAGCATGAAAAAATTCATGTATACTTAATACAAATGGGTCGCGTGGTCGCTCATGCCTGTAATCCCAGCACTCTGAGAGAGTGAGGTGGGAGGATTATTTGAGCCTGGGAGTTCAAGACGAGCCTGCACAACACAGCGAGACCCCATCTCTACAATAATAAAACAAGCAGCTGGGCATGGAGGCTGAGGTGGGAGGATCACCTGAGCTCAGGAGTTGGAGTCTGCAGTGAGCCGTGATCATGCCACTGCGTTCTAGCCTGGGCAACAGAGTTAAAATCGAACTCAGGAAAAAAATGATAGTTAAATTATACTTAAGGAAATAATTCTTAAATTATAGTTATTATTTGATAGTTTGTGGAGAGTATGATTTGATTTTAGCATAGAAGTTTTATGTTAAAAAACCATATATGACATGAATGTTGTAGCAGATGACTCCATGGGGGAATTCTTTGTGTTCCAAGTTTTACTCTCTTCTAAACTTAAATAGATGTGAAAAGTATATATGTTAAGCCATCTTGGGCTCCCTCTGCTGAAATGGAAGTGATCCATTTTAAACTATTTTAAAAGGCAAACAATTGAAAGATCTTCTCAACACTTGCTGAATAGCAGGTCCCGTGGAGACTTGATTTATAAGGCAAGGTCCCTGTTCTCAAAAAGCTCATGGCATAGCGGGAGATGAACAAATAAGTGGGGTTTGGGTGACAGTTCCTGTAACAGAGTCATGTGAAAATCTGCAGAGGAATGCAAAGTTGCTGGGAACTTGAAAGCCATGGGGGAGAGAGGTCAGAGTCCTCAAGGTGAAGACTCCCCAGGACCTGAGCAGTGAGAGAGAGACAGGGAGGGTCTCCAGGTGGAAGCCAGCTTGGTGGGTTTGGTTGTTTGTCCTCCCCCAAGAGACTGTAAATGTTTATTCCAATCTCAAGAAAGTTCCAGTCTCATCATACGCCCAGACACACCAGAAATTGCTATTTTTTCTTTCAATTTTGTCAACGTTTTTTTTAAAAAAACCTCATTTTTGTTTTGCTTTGTATTTCTCCAGTTACTAGTGAGTTTGAACATTATTCACATTTTACTGTCTATTATTAATAATTATTTTATGAAACTGTGGGTCTCAATCTAGAAAACAGCAATTTTTTATTTTTTTTATTTTTTATTTTAAAGATGTGGGGTAGCCGGGCTCAATGGCTCAACCTGTAATCCCGCGCTTTGGGAGGCTGAGGTGAGTGGATTGCCTGAGCCCGCGGGTTCGAGACCCACCTGGGCAACTTGGCGAGACTTCATCACTACAATAAATCAAAAAATTAGCAGAGCGTGGTAGCGTGTGCCTATAGTTCCAGCTACTTGGAAGGCTGAGGAGAAGGATCGCCGGAGCCCAGCAGGTCGAGGCTGCGGTGGCCTGGAGTGGCCACTGCACTCTAGTCTGGGCGACAGAGTGAGACTCCAGCTCAAAAAATAATAATAATAAAAAATTTAAAAAATAAAGATGTGGGGTACAGTTCAGGGTTAGGTATACAAATGCTCACCATGCAGGCCCCCTTGCCTATGAGGTGTGCCCCTTCCTCCCCTGACAGTTTCCCACTACTACCAATCCCTTTCTTATAGTATTATAATTGTTCAAGGTCCGTTTATGAGTGAGAACATATGATACTCTGTTCTTTGTTTCTGTGATAGATCGCTGAGTATGATAGACTCTAAATCCATCCAAGTTGCTGGGAAGTCCATATGAAAACAGCGACTTAGTTTGTGTGTTGGCCAACCCACAACAGAAACTTTGCAGATGTACATCATCAAAAGACAGAATTCCAGTAAATATAAAAATCTTAACTGGCTTTTCTTTGTGATTCTAGAATCAAGTAACACCTCTGTCTATAAGATAGAATGAATGGGTTCCCATGAGCCCAGAAGAAGAGGGTGGTTCACAGACTGAAAGGGGCTAAGGAGGGCAGATGCAGAACAACAGCGGATAAGTCGTCTAAAGTGACTTTCCATATAGAGGTCGGACAGAGGGGCCTCCTTGTCACACTGGGGAATTTGGCTGTTCTCTCTCAGGTGAAGATCTTAGTTGGACTTGGTTCCGGGAGCTTCAGCAAAAGCAACTCATTTAGAGGGGCCTGGGGACCCTTGCAGGAGGCCAGCCAAACCCGTGTCCTCCTGTCAGTCTTAGGAAACAACATGAGGGCAACTTCTTCTCCTCCAGTTTTATGAAAGTTAAATAATCAGTCTTTTTATAGATAAATAACACTGGACATTACTGAATTGTGGGAATAATACTATAAATGCTGGTTGGTGGAGGACACCCACTCATTCTCTCCTGTCTGCCTAGCAGTGGAAATGGAGACCCTGACGTGCACGCACATGCACACATACAGACATGCACAAATACATGCACACTCACACATATACACACTCACATGTGTGCATGCACAGACATGTACACACACAACACATACACACGTATACACATACACATGTACGCATGCAAACTTGTATGCGCGCGCGCGCGCGCGCGCGCGCGCACACACACACACACACACACACACACACACACACACACACACACACACACACATATTCGAGGCAGAGGGTTCCTAGAGACCAGGAGAGTAAGGTGGGCCCCTGGGGCGTGAACTTGGGTCTGGACTCCTCTCCCAGAACAAACAGCCCTCAGTGTGTCATTGAGTTGCTCTAGGTCTCAATCAAACTTCAGGTTGACATCTTAGGACAGTTTTTGTTGTAAAGCTCTACTCAAATTACTGAGAGCTAGCAGGTGGGGAGGGGTTTTACAAAGACAGAGAATTTACTGGCCTGGGTAGTTTACTGCATTGGCTTCAAACACAGCCCCACTCAGGGCTTTCAGTCTGGCTTTCAGGAGCCCCACTGCAGTCTCCAGCCCCAAGTCACACCTGGCTTTGCTTTGGACACACCTGGCTTTGCTTCGGGCACACCTGGCTTTGCTTCCCCTCACAGAAGCCATATTCCCTGCTGGGGAAGGGTAGGAGGGTGGACGGGGGGTGGGTGGAGAGTGCAGGGTGATGTGCAGGGGTGGACAAGGACCATGGAGGGATGATGGGCAGCAGTGGACAGGGTGGGCAGGGGAGAACATGTGGGCAGCCCTGCAGGAGCAGCCACAAGTCAACACTATGACAGCCAGTCCCCAGAGCCCACAGGGAACTTTTACTTTGGGGCCACATGCTGCCCTCCAGCCCAGGGGAGCAGGCCACAGCAAGAGGACACCCAAGGCAGAGAGGGCCAGGCAACTGGGGGCCGGCGGGTAGGGCATGGAGTGGGAGGGACTTCCTGCTTTTATCTTCCAGAGTTTCCATTTCACTTAATAAACACCTAGCAGTTCCTACATGCCAGGCATGTTCTAAGTACTTTATGAATATTAACTTTATTAGTCCTCATTACAACCATATTAAGCAATATTAGCATTTCCCCTCTTTTATAGATAAGGAAATGGAGGCACGGGAGCAGCTAAATGACTTGCCTGAGGTCACACAGCTAATAAAAAACAAACCATACCAGGAAGTGTACCCCAGTGGTTGGGCTCCAGGGCTCATGGTCCTAATGGCTGTGCCTGGCCCTCTCTCTGGAAGGAAAAGGTGTAGAATCAAAATGATGCCTATCTCATGGTCCTGGGTTAACAACTCTTAGGAAAGAAGAGATTGGTCTGCAAAATAGTACAGAAATAAGTGCAGATGTCAGGGTAGCACCAGAGAGGGGCAAACCCAGGCAGTACCAGGGCCGGCACAGACAATCGAGGGCACTCGGTCGTGTTCTGTGCCAGAGGAAAGTGCATTTACCGTTGCTCGGACATGGCACACTACTGTGCAGACTCCCTGGAAGCTGGAGACATGGCCACATCCCAGAAGAGGAAAGGGAGGCTAGGCTGGGAGGTCCCGGAGTGCAGGACAAGGTTGCTGGGTACCTTCCAGAGCATCTGAATGTGATGTCGTGTGCAATCAGGACTGTTAAAATAACCAGGTAAAATTGATTACAAAATATAAAGTGAACCATATCTATTCTCTATACTTGTGGCTAAGCTATGCACTGAAAATGTTAAATTCGTTCAGCCTGTAATTCCAGCACTTGGGGAGGCGGAGACGAGAGGGTTGCCTGAGCCCAGGGGTTCGAGACCAGCCTGGGCAACTTGGTGAGACCTCATCTCTACAATAAATCACAAAAACTAGCCAGGCATGGTGGTGTGCATCTGTAGATCCAGCTACTTGGAAGACTGAGGCGGAAGGATTGCCTAAGCCCAGCAGGTCGAGGCTGCGGTGGCCTTGAGCACACACCACTGCACTCCAGCCTCAGCAATAAGACTGAGACTCCCGGCGCAAACAAAAAAGCAAACAAACAAAAGTTAAATTCAAAAGTAAAGCTCATGCTGTCATTTGAATCTCAGATCACAGAAGAAAGGAGGCTCAGGGGACAGGGAAGACACTTGGCAGATTTCCAAAGGAGAGCCCAGGGGAATCCCCATTGATTACTTCCTCCTCACGGGAACACAGTGTTTCCCTGGACATCAGCTTTGTTTTCTGCTCTAAAAGGGCTTATCCCATCAGAGTGGTCCCAATGGTTCCCAGTTAGTTAAAGGAACGAATCAACAAAGTTAACCTGGTGTCAATTCTGTCCATGATGCCCACTGAGTGGGCATCCTCCTGGAGTAAATGATGGTGTTTAGCTCATTTGTTTTACCCAGACCGATATTCGGTTTCTTTTGTATGAAAATATGTCACCTGGACCAAGAGAACGCATGAGTAGCTTAGGCAGAGAAAACATGCCAAAATGTAGAATCCTCTGCAGAAAACGCACCCTCGAACCCAGACTATTTCCTACCTTGAAGACAGATGCAAGACTAATGATCTGATAAGAAATGTGGAAGGAGAAAAATGCTTTACAGTGATTTTGTTGATAAAACATTTCTAAGAAGGGCTTTGTTGTATTTTCTTTTTCCCAGACTGGTGAAACTAACAGAGGAGAATCTGAAAGGAGAAACCTTGGCGAACTTTCGCAGACGACCTCAGAGGATAACGATGTGTTTGGTAGGTGACATGAATCCCAGAAAACGTGACTGCATTGGGTGATGGTGGGCACAAGTGTGCTCGTTTGGAGAAGTCTTGGTTTTTTAACCATATGGGTTACATGTAGGTTGGTTTTCATCAAGATGTAGACTGTGTCAAAATGTAGAGGACACAGTTCCTTCCTCCCCTTCTCCCCTTCATGCAATCCCTTCTACCCGCGTGACCACACATGGTATCTGTCCCCATCTTGTTTTTGTTTTGGTTTTTTTGTTTTGCATGCCTACTTGTAGACACAGACACCCAGTACTTCCTTACTTTATGGTATTTATCTGATCATCTATTTGTCCATTTGTGTGAGCATCAGAAAGCCTATCAGAGCTCATAAAAAAATAACTAATGAGGAAGTGAGATTGCACCAAAGCCTGGGTGCTGTGATGTTTATTTTAACCACAAAGAATGACTCAGAGGCACTGGGAAATAACTGTTGTCTATACAATTTTACTTTTTTGTATTGCTTTGCTGAATATACATTGCCTTTGCATATCGCTGTGGCTTGAATGTGTCCCCCAACTCTCCCTGTTGGAAATGTAATCCCTAAGTTCATATAGTGATTGGAAGTGGGACCTTTGGGAGGTAACAGACTTAGATAAGGACATCGGGGTAGGCCCCCTTGATGGTGCAGGTGGCTCTATAAGGAAGGAAGAGAGACCTGAGCCTGTGTGCCTACTCTGTGCCACCATGGGATGCCCCAGTCGTGTCACAGTGCCTCCCGGGGAGTCAAGCAGATACTGGCACTGTGCCCCCGGACTTCCCAGCTTCCAGAATTGTAAGAAATGTATTTCTTTTCGTTATAAGTTACCCAGTCTCAAGTACTCAGAACAGTAAAAGAAAATGAACTAAGAAAGAATCCTGACATACCTCTTGCATCTTCTCCCTGGGAGAAGATGCAAGTGGGAGGCCTGTTCTCATCTGATTTTTACATGAATGCAATTGAATCCACTTTTTCCATCATGACCTTGAAGTCAGTGACTTGCCCAAGGTCACACAACTAGGCCGAGCCGAAGCCAGATCTATTCTGTTGTGTATTGCTTTTTTCTTTTCTCCACGTATTCCTCAAGTGAAAGCAACAAAAGAGTGGCCTTAAGTGTGCTCAGATCCTGAAAACCCACTGGTATGTCTAAGGAAAAGGGAGTGATTTCTGGCTACTGCAATAGGCGTTCCTTTGCCCAAGGTCCACTCAGCCTATAGGTGATAGAAGCTCAAGACAGCCAGGCTTCCTGGCCATGTCCCCTGGCCTGGTCTCTGCTTATTCATGGAAAGGTCTTTCTTAATACTTCACTAGTTAGGCAGGGTAATCTATCTTAATTTTTTGTTGTTATTTCTGAATAACTTGCTCTTTTTCAAAAGTTCCATCTTTTCTATAATTCCATTCTTGAGCAAACGCACATCATATAAATAAGCCACTGCTCGCTTTTGTAACGTCTTAAGCATCCATGAAAATCAGCATGATGCACAGGTGCAGAGGCTGGAAACAAGGAAGATTAATTTACCGGAAATGAGACTGGCTGGTGTGAAAAGGGTTCAGTGTTCTCCTGACTCCTATCCCCTTGCTTTCTGTCAGCTTTCTTAGGAATGCTTTTGGGGGCGTGGCCAAGCACAATCCACTGAATTCAGGTAGTGGGATTCTCATTCCTTAGTGGCAGAGGAAAGAGGATGGAATGGAGGACAGCAACAACATGTCTAGGAGTAGCAGCATGCACTCTCGAGAGCATAGAACGTGTCCTAGAACAGTCAGTCTGTGAATTTGAACAGAATGTCCCAGTGTCGACAAACCTGGTGGGGTGGCTTATGCCCATAATCCCCGCACTTTAGGAGACTGAGGCAGGAAGATGATTGCTTGAGTCCAGAAGTTCAAGGCCAACCTAGGCAACATCACAAGATCCCGTCTCTACAAAAATTCAAAAAATTAGCAGCCAGGCATGGTGGTATGCATCTGAAGTCCCAGCTACTTGGGAGGCTGACATAGGAGGATCGCTTGAGCCTAGGAATTGGAGGTTGCAGTGAGCATGATTCCACCACTGCCTGCCTAGGTGACAGAGTGAGACCCTGACTCAAAAACAAACTCCAAAATAACAGTTCCTTTAGATGATTTCTTTACTCATATATAAAGACTTAATAAAAAGGGCAAAACATAAATGTTCAATTTGAGGCTTTTCATTTGAAGAAAAATGAGTTTTAGAATTATTTTGGCTATGCTTACTTTTAAAGCAAACATCATCATTTTTATCATTATTCTGCTAATTAATTGCTTTTAGAATTATTAATAAAAATAACAACTGTCGAGCTCGGTGGCTCAGCCTGTAATCCTGCGCCTTTGGGAGGTTGAGGTGAGTGTATTGCCTGAGCCCGCGGGTTCAAGACCCGCCTGGGCAGCAAGACCTCCTCTCTACAATAAATCAAAAAAATCAGCCGGGCGTGGTAGCACACGCCTGTAATTCTGGCTACTTGGAAGGCTGAGGCGGAAGGATCGCCAGAGCCCAGCAGGTCGAAGCCGGCCACCGCACTCCAGTCTGGGCGACCGAGTGAGACTCCAACTCAAAAATAATAATAATAATAACAGCTGTTTTATGACCATCAAATATATACACACACGCATACACATACCAGACATTATATATATATATATAAAACAAGGTCTTCTATGATGAGCCTGCTCCTTAAATCATGAAGATGGTATATGAGAGGGGACCCCCCAAAAAACAGAATTTATTTATAAAATATTGTGTATTTATTCTTGCATGTTTAAACCTCAGTCACCTTCAAAATATTCTCCATTTGATGCAATATATCGATTGAGATTTTTTACTGCTCAGAACAGTTTTTGAACTCATCATTTTGGACGCCTTTTAGTGCTTCTGTCATTTTTTGTTTCACCTCCCCTACATCTGCAAAACCTTTCCCCTCAAGGACTTTTTTATTGAGGCAACAACAAAAAAAAGTTGTTCAGGGCAAAATTAGGTGACTAGGGAGGGTGGGGCACAGGGGTTATGCTGTGGGGCAGGCCCACTTGTAAATCACCCAGGGTGAAATGGGCTAAAGCATTGAAAAAAATCTCAAAAAAATTTTTCACTGAAGCCCAACGCAGCCTCTTACAACACTAGCTGGTACACTGATGCCAATGGGTTCATAGAACACTTACTTAGCAGGGAAAGCCTGTATTTGTTTATTTTTTATTTTTATTTTTTTTGAGTTGGAATCTCACTCTGTCACCCAGACTGGAGTGCAGTGGTCGAGCACCGCAGCCTCGACCTGCTGGGCTCCGGCGATCTTTCCACCTCAGCCTTCCAAGTAGCTGGAACTACAGGCGCGCACTACCACGCCCGACTAATGGAAGCCTATATTTAAATGGACCAGCCCTCCAAAAGATAATTTCAGGTTTTTATACCCCGCCCCCCAATTTCTGAAGCTCTTCCAAAGGCAGCCTTTCTTAACCTTTCCAAATAGAAATTCAGTGTTGTGGGTTATTATCTAGGATTGAATGTGAAACCAGTGGAAATGCAGAATCTTTCCAACATTTCACAAACTTGGACAAGTGTTCTAATGGGAAGAGCGGTGCCTCTGCCTGTGTTTATTGAGCTGTTCAGGGCCTGGGATGAGGCAGAGAGACTACAGGTCTGTTGAGTGAATGTGGCTCCCACATACTCAGGACATCAGCTCATCAGTGTGATGAAGAGATTTCCCCAGAGCCATCTCCAGGCATTGCTAGCCTACCCTGATTGAAGTAGAGCAGAACAGAAGTGAAGAGTGAGGAGTTTGCAGTCTGAAAGAGTCCTCACTTCTGACCCAAGTGAGGTCAACCCGGCTGCTCCTGGCTCCTGTGCCACAGTCGCAAGGGACCCTCTGAGCAGTGGGCTTCTGCTCTCGAGTGTGGTGATTCCCTATTCCTAATCCTTCCCTGGAATCTACATAGCTCCAGTCTACATGTGCAAGGTGAGGAAGAGGAAGCTAAAGTGACCTTGGCTACTAATCTTGGAGAATATGCAGGAGAATTTGATTTAAATCATAATGTGCTCAGAAACAGAAAACCAAATGCTGCGTGTATTCATTCACATGCAGGAGCTAAATGGTCACAAAGATGGAAATAACAGGCACTGGGGACACCAATAAGGGGGGAGGCGGGAAGGGAGTCTCCAGGTCAGAAATTACCTATGGGGTACCATGTTCACTATCTGGGGAATAGGCCAGCCCCTACCACCACACGATATGTCCATGTAACTAACATGCACATGTACCCCCAAATCTAAAATAAGAAATGGAAAAAAATTTTTTAAATGATAACATGCTGTACAAATGTAACTCCAAATGACAACAGCAGTTGCCTCCCATTTTACAAAAAGGTCACTTCTTGCCTGGATAATAAATTCCATTCTTGGTGTCCTGTGAGCACGTGAGTCCCAGCAACCACGTGAGAATCTTGCCTAGGCCCCTGGCAATCGCTGTGTCCATGTGTGCGAAGAATGAGCTCAGGGTCTGAAGAATGTGCAGGAAGTCGTCACCCTTCAGCCATCTCTGTAGGACACACATTCCCCACGGTCTCTGTGGTGAATGTCAGAAGGCAGCAGTGTTGGTCTTGGGCTGGTGACAGAGTCCCTGACCACGGACTGGATGGGAGCATTGAGGAGAAGCCTGTGGCCGGGCACTGACCACCATGCAGGTGTCACAGCTGTGGCTCACCCGGGACGCCCCAAACCACAAATGCACAGCTACAGCCAGGCCCCCTTTCTCCCTGTCTTTGTGAAGGCCAGAGCCCATGCTTTTTCTAGCAGTGCACTCAAGGGTTTTCCTAGCTTTTCATCTCCTGATGAAAATCTCACTGAGGGATTGTTTTCAATCCTGGCGAACAACTCGCTGGAGCACACTTTCCAGTCTCCTTGGGGATTGTTTTGCCTAGTTGTACAAGGAGGAAGAAGACATTTGCAGGCACAGTGGCCGAGAGAAGCGGGTGTTGTCCCAGCTTTGGG